TGAGATATAACAATAAAAAAATTATTTCCATTTACCATTTACATGTTTTATTTCATTTTGAAAATATGTACTATGCTCTTAATTATTTATAGGCTGCTACGAGTATATTCGACAAGAACAAAGTAAGTACATATATGTCGTATACACTTTGAATGTACATATTGTATATATGGTATGTCTTCTTTATTTTCGTAATAAAACATTCTAAAATGTGATACAATTGTAAATATGTTTATTTGTTTCATTACGTTCCTATATAACAAATGCATTTGTTTTTTATGACGATTACACTCGTCATCATACAAAAAAGTCATCTTTTCGTGACGTGTATATTCGTCAGAAATATACCGATCAGAAAAGATATCAAACAAATCACCTTTTCATGACGAGTATGTTCGCCACTAAACTATGTCATTTTTCGTCATTGTCATTTTTTCATGACGGATATACTCGTCATGAAACCAAAAAAGATTTCCCTTCATGACGAGTATACTTGTCATCGATCAGAAAAAATATCTTTTCATGACAAATATACTCGTCATCGATCAGAAATGATATTTTTTCATGACGAGTATACTCGACATAAATATCGAAACGGTGACAAACTCAGATTTCAAATATTGTCTACTATCAAATAAAACAAATTTTCATCTTCTGATCTCCCAAAATGGCAACCTTCCTTAAGGAATGAAAAAGAAAACGAAAAAAATCTGATCAATAGAAACCAAAGTATACTAAAAATAGAAAGCACATCAATCAGATTAATTGTATCGAATCACAGCTCGGCGATGGTTCTACATGGCCGATTTAGGCGGATACACGCCAGTAATTGTAAGGGTGTTTGATCGTCGTCACGTTTCGCGCATGACCGTCTCATAACGTCATGGAAGCACGTGTTAACGACTCGCCTTCATATCTATTTAATCAGCACGAGACTCGGCCAGCCATCGCACTGTNAAAAAATTATTTCCATTTACCATTTACATGTTTTATTTCATTTTGAAAATATGTACTATGCTCTTAATTATTTATAGGCTGCTACGAGTATATTCGACAAGAACAAAGTAAGTACATATATGTCGTATACACTTTGAATGTACANTGAGATATAACAATAAAAAAATTATTTCCATTTACCATTTACATGTTTTATTTCATTTTGAAAATATGTACTATGCTCTTAATTATTTATAGGCTGCTACGAGTATATTCGACAAGAACAAAGTAAGTACATATATGTCGTATACACTTTGAATGTACATATTGTATATATGGTATGTCTTCTTTATTTTCGTAATAAAACATTCTAAAATGTGATACAATTGTAAATATGTTTATTTGTTTCATTACGTTCCTATATAACAAATGCATTTGTTTTTTATGACGATTACACTCGTCATCATACAAAAAAGTCATCTTTTCGTGACGTGTATATTCGTCAGAAATATACCGATCAGAAAAGATATCAAACAAATCACCTTTTCATGACGAGTATGTTCGCCACTAAACTATGTCATTTTTCGTCATTGTCATTTTTTCATGACGGATATACTCGTCATGAAACCAAAAAAGATTTCCCTTCATGACGAGTATACTTGTCATCGATCAGAAAAAATATCTTTTCATGACAAATATACTCGTCATCGATCAGAAATGATATTTTTTCATGACGAGTATACTCGACATAAATATCGAAACGGTGACAAACTCAGATTTCAAATATTGTCTACTATCAAATAAAACAAATTTTCATCTTCTGATCTCCCAAAATGGCAACCTTCCTTAAGGAATGAAAAAGAAAACGAAAAAAATCTGATCAATAGAAACCAAAGTATACTAAAAATAGAAAGCACATCAATCAGATTAATTGTATCGAATCACAGCTCGGCGATGGTTCTACATGGCCGATTTAGGCGGATACACGCCAGTAATTGTAAGGGTGTTTGATCGTCGTCACGTTTCGCGCATGACCGTCTCATAACGTCATGGAAGCACGTGTTAACGACTCGCCTTCATATCTATTTAATCAGCACGAGACTCGGCCAGCCATCGCACTGTACCATAATCTCATAGCGTTACTCGCGCACGCACACGCGCGCGCACGAACGCCGACGGTAGATCAGCGTGCGTGTGTGTCTGTGTCCTCTATCGATCCACGCACGACCTGGTGTCAATAAGGAGCCATCAGGTCCGTTTATGCAGGACGAGTCTCGTGTCTAATATTAGCCTCAATCAGAGCCAATCAAGAAGAAAATAGCGCCACACGAGTACGCGCTATTATTTATCGCGTCCGTACCGCACACGTGACGCGATCTCATGACCGATATATAAAGGTACCATGATCTTGAACGGAACTACACACTGGTCAGACGTTTTCTGCGGCGCGATCGCTGCTCGCGATCCTTCGATCGGTACCGGTACATCGTACGTTGTCCTTCTTCGACTTGGTCGATATTTGTATCGCGAGTAAAATCGCGGAATCTGATCGAAATCGATTGAAAAATGCGCCCGAATTGAAAGGCGTAGGAAATTTGAAAATACTCTGGGAAATATAAATATTGCTGGCATTTACGTCGTTTTTCACTGTATGGAAATCGTAGAAACGCAGAATTCGTTGCGGAGGATTTGAAAAGCGCGCCGAAAAGGAAGCGGGAAATTCGATAATACACAGGGAATTACAAACGTCGTTGCATTTTGAGACCATCGGTGGCATTTGCGTCATTTTTATCGTGTGAAATTCATAAAATTGCAGAATTCGTTTGTGAAGGATTTGAAAAGCGCGCCGAAAAGGAAGCGGGAAATTCGATAATACACAGGGAATTACAAACGTCGTTGCATTTTGAGACCATCGGTGGCATTTGCGTCATTTTTATCGTGTGAAATTCATAAAATTGCAGAATTCGTTGTGGAGGATTTGAAAAGCGCGCCGAAAAGGAAGCGGGAAATTTGAAAATACTCGCGTGGAATTGCAAACCTCGTTGCATTTTGTGAGCATCGGTGACATTTGCATCGGTTTTACCGTGTGAAATTCGTAAGAACACAGAATTCGTCGAGCAGAATTTGAAAGGCGGGCCAAAAGTAAAACACGTGGAAAATATGAAAATATTTAAACAATTGTAAACGTCGTTCCACTTTGCAATTATCGGTGGCAGTTGCATAATTTATACTGCACGAAACTGGTAAAAACACAGACTTCGGTGCGCAGTATTCGAAAAGCGCGGGAAATCTGAGAAAGGCGGGAAATTCGAACGCTCAAATTCCCAAAACAACAAAATCGTCAGATTTCCAAAAGACTGAAAATTTCCAAACGAAGAACGCTCACAAAATTAGATGTAAAATTCTTCAAAAACGTAAACAATAGTAAAATCTTTCACGGAGAATTCAAAGCCGAAACATCGAAAGTTCAGACTCCGCGGACAGATTCTTCGGAGAGGAACCGAACGAGACTTTGATTCTTAGATTCGACTAGGAAGAGAGCTCGTCCTTCGACGATAAAACCCACGAAGATGCGCAACACGAGCACAGAGCAAGTTCTGAAGGACGAGGAATGCTTCGAGATCATTCGGAAGAAGCTGCACCGGGACGCAATGGAGGATTTCTCGCTGATCACGTACGAGGTGGTGCCGATCGACGAGGTGAACGGCTTCATGGGCCAGTACTTCACCTTGAAGGCTACGGTGGCCTGCCCGCAGTCACCATTGGAAACGAAGAGCATCAACTTCTTCACGAAGATACCACCGCCATTGAGCAGCCCCCAGTACGACTTCATGAGGGAGTACGGCAACTTCAAGAAAGAGGTGAATCTGTACACGACGGTCTTCCCGGAAATGCTGGACGGCCTCGACAAAATGTGCATCCCTGAATGCTTCCTGGGTCTGGAAGACGACGTGATCGTGTTAGAGGACATGGCGCACAGCGGCTTCGAGATGACCGACAAGCTGAAGCCATTCGACCTCGAGCACTGTAGGATCCTGATGAGGATGCTGGCCAAGTTCCACGCGAAGTCGCTGATCTTCGAGGAGGTGTACCAGAAGAACCTGCACGACGAGTTCTCGCACTGCATGCAGGAGACCCTGTGGCCGCTGAAGGACGGCAGGGCGAAGGCGATGTTCGACGCTGCTGTGAAGGGCACCATTTCTGTAATAGACTTGATGCCCGGCCTGGACCAGGAGCAGAGAGCCAAGTTCAAGGCCATAGTCGAAGAACTCTGCGAGAATCACACGGGGAAACTGCTGCCCTCGACGAAACACAAAAATGTGCTGTGTCACGGGGACCTGTGGGCCAACAACATTCTCTTCAAGTACGATGACGACGAGAAGCCTGTCGAGTGCTGTCTTATCGACTTCCAGCTCGCCAGGTGAGCCGGCGTGGATATTGCAATATTTTCTTGAAGCTTGGTTGGTCTTAGGGGATCTTGATCATTTTCTTTATTTCAATATTAGTAATGTTCTTTGCAAAATGGGTTTGTGCAACACAGGTTAAGGTCCTAGAACCAGCAAAAAATTGCTCATCTTATCGATGCTTTGTTACTCTTTGATCCTAGGATGATTTTGAGGGTTTTTCACAAGATGAGGAATGTTGTTTGGAAAATATGTCGCTGGTTAAGATCGATCAGCGACCTAGAATCCACTTTTCTTTTATGAAAATTCCCATCAGTTCCTCAGGTATCGAATGATCCCGGTACAGAGATGATACTAGTGGAGGTAGGATCAAGATCAATGTGTGTAAATTTTAATGACTATGATTCGTCCTACAGGTTATGAATATTACTCAGGAGTAATAACGTTTCACAGATTATACTTAAAATGTATTTATTCTACAGAGTGTCCCAAAAGTTACTCAAAATCGGGAAATGGAGGGTTCCTCGAGCCACTTGAAGTAACTTTCTCCTTTGCAAAAATTTTCTCCGTGGCTTCGTTTACAAGTTATTAACGAAAAACAATGACCAATGAGAGACGAGATCAGCTGGCGCGAGGCAGCCGAGCCAATGAGCGGGACTGGGCTCCTCGACTGCTCGTTAGTTCGGCCGCCTCCCGCTAGCCGCGCTCGCCTCTCATTGGTCAGAGTTTTCCGCTAATAACTCGTAAACGAAGCCTCGGATTGCATTTTCGCTAAGGAAAAAGTTGCTTCAAACGACCTCAGAAATATCTAACTAATATGTTCGATCCCAGGTTCAATTGCCTAGACACAATTTTCGGTCCAACTTAGGCCCAATTTCGAATCGATCACGTTAATCCGCTATCTTTGCAGGTACAACCCGCCGGCGCACGACGTCCTCTGCTTCCTCCAGTTCACGACGGTCCGACAACTTCGCGAAGACCACTGCAACGAGCTCTTCAAGATCTACCATGAAACGGTGTCCGCGGCTCTGAAGGACGCAAACTTGGACATCGAGAAGCTGCTGCCCTGGGACGGGTTCGTCGAGTCCATCGACGACCTAAGAAAGATGTGCATCCTCCATGGCATCCTTAACATCCCCATCATGCTTCTGGAGCCTGTGGCAGCCAGCAAATATTTCAGCAGGGAACCGGAGCTGCTTGAAAACGTTTTGTACGTCGACAGGACACCGTTGATGTGCGAGCAGATGAGGGACGTGCCCAGGTACAGGGAGAGGCTGATAGATGCTCTATTGGAGCTACACGAACACGTAGCCGGCTAAGAATCGCTCTGTCATCTGGTGCTTGTTTTTTCGTAACGGATCCGCGGTCTTCTTTATCTTGCTGACTTGGAAAGTGAGCGATGAGCACGGCGAGTCGAGAGATAGTCTCGGGTAGTCTCGAAAGCTCGAGGAACACGATCAATTATGGTTAGGACGATTCACGCTGGGAAACAGTGTGACACATTCCTTTTTCAGGAATGAAACCTGAAGATCACGTTAGGTTTTATTTTCATAACTACGATTTGTCCGATCTTAGGCGATCTCTCTATAGTTTTTGCTTTTTATAGTGATACAGATTTGTTACTATTGTTGTTTATAATAGCTTTTTTATGAGTTTTAGGTGGAAGGTTTTAATTTATCGATTGGTTTCAGTGAAATCTGACGCAGCTTCTTCCTTTTCGATATTTTCTTGTTTCAAATAGAGAATTCTTTTGCTGAAAATGTTCCTGCTTTTGTGAATCAGCTTACCGAAATTGTAGGTTATTTCTTGTAAGTAGGAAATTGTGTAGTTAGAAAATTTTTAGTTAAATAATCGAGAGTTTTTAAGGAAGGATTTTTTTGAATAACTTTGTACCGGTTAGATTGTTATTGTGGTAGCTGAAATATTATCTAGAATAGTTTTGTATCTGTTTAGGTAGTATTTAGGAAATGTTTCATGTCATTGATATTGTTATTATGTTCGGCGTTAATAATTATGTTACGAATGATTTTGTATTATTCAGAATGTTGTTACGTTTGGTGTCAATAAAGAAAAATGTTGTTTAGAGATATTTCTCGTTATTTTAAAAATGGTTCTTAAAGCGATAGTATAACAGTTAACGTTGTGTAAAAACATAGTGATACGGTTATGTTAAGGCTATTTGACATTATACGAAAAACAAGTTTTAGTAACCCAACGGTTTTAAGAAATTTTAGAAAGTTTTACTTGCTTTTACTTACTTAATAGCAAATTCATCTGAATAGGAGGCTTGATATTTCTGCGATAGAATTTTCTAATATTGATAATGACTTTTCAAATTATATTGTAAAAAAGCAAAACCAAAATGTTCACACTGAAACAAGTAACTATGACAATATTGTTGTAGTTATTTCATCTATCGTGAAATAAAAATAAAGTGATGATATCATCTACTCTGACCGCTTAATAACTTATTTCATGAAAATTTGTTAAAATTTTCTCAAAACTATAACTTTATACAAGTTTATAATTTTTATTATTAGATACTTGCCAATGATAAACCACCGCAAGGGTAGTCACAGGTTTAAATCAAATGGACAGTTTATGCTCTATTTCTTTTGTTCTATTAAATAAAAGATTATGAAAAAAAATCATGAATGTTCTACATAATGGGACATAACGCCATGAATTTTTTCAGAATTTTTCGTTCTGCAGAACAGAAGAAATAAAGCATGTTCGTTTAACCCTGTTAATAGAAATTTAACTCTGTAACTACCCTTGTGGTGAGTATAATTGAAACTTGACTGAGAGAGTTTTCCTTGATTGGTCTATCAGATGACTTAAGCAAAAGTCAATTCAGTTAGACGGCACATTATAAGTGGACTGCGGATTTTATGCAGTTATGTGAAAAACAAATAGATGTCATTTAAAACAGTAGGAAGATTAACAGAATTGAAAAATGTTGATGCATTACTTTCAGCTTGTTATAGTTATTACGGCAAAAAAGATTGAGTGATTCCTATTTAAACCTGCAAGAAAATTCACAACCTAGTTATAAGTATAGGTTAGGTTTGAGTTAAGTCTGGATTAAGGCCACAGCTTTTTGCGTATATCTTAGAAATTAAAATAGAACGAGATTTTCTAGAAAGGAAGAAGTTGTTCAAAATGTCGAGTTGCACAATATACTTCATCAAAATCTGAAAGAAGCACGATCTCGTAAATAATTAACACTTGTTAACACTTTGACTGCCGCGTCACCCATATGTGGAGTACAGAATTATTTAAAAGTTAATTTTTACGCTAATCTATTTTATTTTTCTAATTTGATTAAAATCCGCAAAGCTTTGATTGAAAGCTTTTTAAATTGTAATTTGATTGAAAAAAGTGCCTCGATTTTATAGAATTGTATTAACCCTTTGTACTCGAAGTTACTTTAATCTCAAAAACAAGACAGTACTTCTGACTATATAGTATTTCTATAATACTATAGAGTACTATATAATATTCTATGTATAATGTTCTCTAATATTAATTTATCTATAATATAATATTCTATAATAGTATAGAATATTTCTACTTTTGATAATTATTTTCCTGTTGTGCATATAACAATAACGATTTATTAAATGTAGATAAATTTAATGATGCAAGAATTATGTTGAAAAATAATGTAGCAATTTACAGTGTCGTCTCAGAATCACCATTCGACTGCAAATGGTTAATAAAGTGTTAATGAAATTCGACAGAAAGGAGAGGACTATGTCGCAATGGACATAGCGCAATGAACACACAAAAGACGAATATTCTTATCTTCACAATTTCTTATTTCTAATCGTTACAGTGCGCATCAAGAGTTAACAACATTCGCTTGTCGCGACACTCATATAACGTGTCAACGATGGAAACATCGTTAAAGGGGTACAAAAGGAATCAGGTGTTGATAATCGTCGGTGCTTCCTCCGAACGTCACTGACGAAACGCAGAAGGAACTAGCATGAAGCGTCCATTGACCGCGATTTTATTATTCGTGATAACTAACTGGCTGTGCCGCGTGATTATTATGGTTCTGCTGGAAATCTTGGAGCGTCACTGTCTTGCAAACATCCGGTTTGCCGGCTATGATCATCGCAAGCTTCGTCTGTGAAAGAATCGTCAACAATTAGCAATCGTTTTTGTAGAAAATTGGCATAAAAGCAGTTTGAATTTTCCTTCCATCGGAAACACTATCATTCTAGTAAAAATCACAAAATGGTGACACAAAGTCTCTTGGAAATGTAATATTTCATTATCGTCGTTAGTAACAGTCGTTACTATGTCTGATAACTAGACTGCGGATTTTACGCGTTTATGGCAAAATTTGATAGTTGTAATTTAAATTAGTATAATAGATACATTGAGAAAATTCAAAAATTTCAGTGCATTATTTTCAACCTATTGAAATTATTGAAGAACGAATGAACTTGTTATTCTGTTTATATTTCTTGCAATTGATGATGACAATTTGTATTTTTCATTCAAATCTGCAGCCTATTGATAACCATGATTTTCTATCTTCGGAAAGAAAATCAAATCGATTTTACACTTATTCTTAACTAACATTGTAACACACACCATAACATTCTATTTCTCTTGGCTTAGTTTACGAGAGGATGCTTTTCTGTCATACCTTGCTAGGGGATACTTTCTTGTCATACTTTATAAGGTGACACATTTTTGTAATTCTTTACTGGAGGATACTTTTTTGTCACACACTTTTATAAGAGAATTATTTCTTCTTATTTTTTTATGAGAGGATACCTTTTTGTGATACATTACTAGAAAGTAGTTTCTTGTTATATTTTATAAGAGGATACTTTTTCGCCATACTTAATTGGAGGATCATTTTTAATATATATATAATACTTTATAAGATAATATCATTTTGTAATTCTTTACCAGAGGATACTTTTCTATCATACTTTACAAGATGACACATTTTTGTCATACTTTTCTAGAGGATATTTTCTGTCATACTTTATGAGAAAATTGTTTTTTGTCAAATACTATTAAAGGACACTTTTCTGTCATATTTTACTAGAGAATACTTTAGAAGATCATTGAAGCAAACAATTTTTTGTCTTGCAATAATTCTTTTAGGAGAGAATGTTCACGTTTGTCTCAGGTGCTGATGTGTTTGCTTCAATGATCTTATAAAGTATGGAGATCATAGGATAAGTAGCGTACCAAAAACTTCTGCATAGCTGTGTTGAACCACTCGACGGGGTTTTTGGCATACGCGTTCTTGAGATCTTCGTCGGACTCGTTAAGAAATTGATTGACGACGGTGCAGATCACGTAATATCTCAGGGAAAGGAACGTCTCGGCCCACAGGCAGAAAATGTCCAAGAGTTCGTCGTTCAGCTTCCAAGTAGCCTTTATGTATGCTACCACGTCGTTGATAACGTGCACGAACCAACGGGAAACTTCACGTAGGAGCAGGACCATCGATTCCTCTACTGTGGAAGGTCGTACCTGGTTTTCTGGCTCTGGTAAACTCAGAGCTCTCCACAAGCTAGTCGCTTGCTGCATTGCAAGCTTCGGATCCGTTAATACCTGTGACACATACGAATCTGTTTCTGAATGTTCTTAGAGAGATTTCCAGCGGATATCGATAACACTGTAATAACATTATCATCGAGGAGATATTGATAACAGTGTAATAACATTGTCGTCGACTAGATATCGATAATAGCATAATAATATTATTATCATTAACATTATTATCGAATAGATGCATCGATAACATTNCGATAATAGCATAATAACATTGTTATCATTAACATTATTATCGAATAGATGCATCGATAACATTGTAATAACATTATCATAAAATACAATATCAAAAACATTATAATAACATTATGATCGAACAGATATCAATGGCATTATAATTGAGCTAAATAAAACAATTGAAATATATATATATATATATATATATATATATATATTTTAATTGGCATTATATATAT